CAGCTCTGTAGACTTTCAGCTTTGTGGAGATTCGGATGTTGTGTTGATTGAGCACTCTAGTATGCAGCTTCTCCAGTGCCTGGCTGCCCTTGCTGATCCTGGAGTCAATGTCCTTGCCAAAGACCCATTGCTCAAGATAATGCTTCCCAAGTATTTGAAGCTGTTTTCATTTGTCAGCTGGGTGTCATCAACAGTGATTTTGGTTCTACAGGGTTGGCACAAGCTGGTAAAGTACTTCAGTCTTGTTCAGGCTGATAGTTAGGCTGAAGAGCATATCAGCATCTGAGAATTTGTTCACCATCAACTGTAGATCACTGTCTAGGAATTCAACAGTTCAGCCATCTCCCTTATGTCCATCACCATCTTGCTATCTTCTCTAACCAGTAGACTGATCACTTTCTTGACTTTTCTCTTGTTCCACACATACTCCAAAACCACTTTTTGCTTATTTTTGGCATTCACTGCAAGCCTCAGCTCATTCTGAGCCTTAGCCTTCCTGATCCTTTCCTTACAAATTCAGGCTACTTCCTGCAATTTTGCTTTGTTATATGTCCCTCTTTCCATTTTTTTAAACTTGTCTTTTTTATTCTCAGTTTATTAGGGAGCTGTATTTTCATCTCCAGAATCCTCTGTTCCTTTCTCAGGCCTTGATCCTGTGTTGGAAGTATGGACAAAAATACCACTTGTGCTCCAACCTCTTTTGCTTCCTTGCTTAACTCCTGATAGTCCCTTGATAGTTCTTCCAGGCTGTTTCTGGCTGGGCCATTTGTTCCAACATGAAAAAGAAAGGGATGGCGATCAATAGGATTGATTAATCAGATCAATGCCTCTTCATCACATCCTGGATATTCGCACCTGGGAAACAACACACTTCCCTTGATATCACGTCTGTAAATTGCTGACTCCAGTCCTCTCCGCAGCAAGTCTCCCATCATCACCACACACCTTTTCTTCTTTGGGACAGCTGTTGGATTTCTCATCTCCATGGAAGTCCAAGCTTCTCTCCTTCCCGTTCCTGGAATGCTGGGGGAAAACTCTCCTCTGGAAGTCTGAGAGTCTGTTTGTGCATCCATGAATACTTGCATCTCTAATCTCTTTCTAACTCTTACATATGCCTATCTTCCCCATCATCATCTCCCTCTGTCTCAGTGACCCAGACAGGGATATTCCAATCAATCATCTGTTTGTCATGCTTATAGTCCTCCAACCCGGTGTTCCTCAACCTTGGGAACTTTAAGATGTGTGGACTTCAACTCCCAGCATGCTGGCTGGGGAATTCTGGGAGTTAAAGTCCACACAACTTAAAGTTCCCAAGGTTGAGGAACATTGCCCCAAGCCATTGGGAGTTCAGTTCTTCCCTTTCTCCTTTCTGGTTTGTTATTTATTTTTGTGCCAGCCAAAAACATTTTTCAAAAATCTGTTATACTGCAGAGCAAGGGCTGTTCCCATCCCATCTATTGTGTGGGGGAAGAGGAAGTGCAAACTGAAAAAATTACACAATACGTAGAAAAGACCCATTTTCTGTGTCTTCTAGGGATTCAACTCTGTCACAGAAGGAAGAGGAGTCAATCAAACTGACTCCTCAGATAATTGGTAATCCCAGATAACACAACTGACCAGGGCCGGTTATTTTAGTCTCAAACAGACCCAGAACTGTTTGGGACAAATAGTTACCCCTCAAGGTTATTTGACTGGACCAGAGGGCCAGGGTATGATTTTTTTGTACGACAAAATTAATCACCCTCCCAACAATGACTTGGTTAGTGTGTTATGTAAACAGTAAAACATATGTTTATTTCTAACTTTTTTTATACTGTATTAGATTATATGGTGAACAACATCTGTTATTTATATGTTGTGCCCCTATACAAATAGGCTTGTGTGTGGATGGGTACATTCACACGCACACATGCATATTTTTTCCTATTTTGGTGTCTGATTGATTGATTGATTGATTGATTGATGATGTGCCTTCAAGTCATTTTCAACTCCTAGCGACCACATAGATAGATTTTGTCCATGACTAAGTGCCTTTAAACAGCTATTTGTATACTTGTCACCAAATTCTGAACATTCTAAAATGTTCACAATTTCTCAAGGACGCTTAGCTGGATGTTTCTCATCTCTTGCCCTGAAAACAGTTTAAAATCTCTCTGCTCTTTTTCATGTTTAATGCTAGCACCCTGCTTTCATCACTGTAGTATGACTGGAGCGGTCTGTTTTGCACTAAAATCTGTTCTGGCACTTTTTCATCTGTACAATTGAGATTCCTCAATCCCTGCATGTCTATCAGCTTCTCTATCAGAGTAGAGAAAAAAGCAACCCTTCCTGAAATGCTGCTTTGAAGGTTTGTGGCTTCCAACACTTTTCCTTTTTCTTTTTTCTTCCAGGACCGCCCTTTCCTTCTGCACACTACATCCAGTGGCTAATCATACAGCTAAAATGTTCATCAGAAACCAGCTTACTCTAATCACAAGCAACCACTAACATGGATCTTCCATCCCAAAAAGGCACAAACATGAAAAGATGCCAGTTTATAATCTCTCCCACTTCCTCAAAATATTTGCCTTCTGCCCACAGACCTTCATTCTCCGATTGATGCACTGCTACCACTTCCCTAATATATGTGTTATGGACACACGCACATCTCTGCCTTCTCAGCTTCTCTAGATCAGGTGCCACATGGCCCTGGAATACAAGACAGCTTCTGTTCAGCAGAAAGACAGTCATCCATGCCAATTCTTGCCAGACACTGATTTATATATCTGAAGTAAAATGAACGTCTTAATTATGTGAGAAGTCTATTTAATGCAGACAGTAGCAAAAATGGGAAGCAGAAAGAGGGCCTCATTACTGAAATACTGCCTTACTGTACTGTTTCTGGCAATTCCACTGACAACTTTTTAAGACAAATTATTTCAGATAAGACCAAGAATGCAACATGCATGCTTTGAAAACACTTGCAACACACCCGAACTCTACAAGCTGTGAATCTGCCACCTGCCAGAAGTCATTCCCCCTCTTCTTCCCCACCTCTAGGTTTGAGACACATTGCCAGCAGCCCAGTGCCCCGGAGTGGGGCTTTCCCTAAGTTCCCCATCCGTGCCCACCTTCGCCCTGTTCGAAGACTTACCGTGCAGCAAGAAATGGAGGTTTTTAGCAGTCAGAAGGATTCGAACCGCGAAGCCGCCGCACTCACGCCTCGGGTGCAAGCAGGAACGTGCTGAGGTTGCACATGCCCGGAAAAAGGCTCTGACCGCGTTGAGGCAAAGGTACCGCGTGTGTGTGCGTGTGGTTGTTTTTGTTCTGTTTTTTAAAGAACGCTACCTGTCCGTCACGCCCCCTGGACGCGACTCTTGCTACCCGAAGGAGCCGCTAGCCGACTCGCTCTCCCCCTCTCGCTGTGGCTGTGCCTCGTTGAACCCTTGGACGAGCGCGCGCGCGCGCCTCCGCGTTCGCCGCGAGGAGGAATTCCAGCTTATGACGTCAATCGGGGCGAGGGAGAGCGCGCGTCCCGCGTCCTCGGGCGGCCGTAGGCTTCTTCCTCTACATTTGAAGATGTCGGCCGTCAGCGTGAGCGTCATCTGGCCAGCCTCGGCTGGATGAAGGCGCGTATGTTGTGTTGCTGGACACCGCGGTAGAGAGGAGAAAATAGTAAAGGAGACGCGCGCGATCACATGCACAGAAAAAAGCGGCCGGCAATTCCGAGTGGCAGGGAGCAACGACGAGAACGCTTTCTTCATCCTCTCCGGAGACCCTGAGGGGGAGAACTGGTCTCCCAGCGCCAAGGCTGAGGGTCGGTAGCGCCTTATCTCTGCTCGTCAGCCGGTGGCCAAGGCCAGCGACCAAGGACCTTTAGCCGCAGACTTCGGGGCCAGAGCCCGGGAGCTTCCAAGGAGCCGCTAGGAGCGTGGCTGCTGATGAGGGCCGCGTAAATAGGCTTCAGCTTTGTAGCTGGGAGGAGATCTTTTTTTTTTATTCCTCCATTTTTCATACTGGACAGTAACTGCCATTTAAAACAAAACCAAAAAAATATGCTTATTTCCAAATAAATATGTTCGGTATCAGGAAAGCAGAAGCCAATGCCTTGCTCCTGATCCTGCTGAGTTTAAAACAGGAAATTGATTTGCTCAGCATGCTGCCTTTTTAGGGCGTTCATCTTTGCTCTAAATTATTAGTGCAGAAACAGGTGTAAAGCTCAGAGGAGGACGGAGACGAATGCAGGCAGAAGGCAGTGTGGGCTTCACGACAGAAACAATGCAACAGAGCTATACTGAAAAAAAGTCAGCTGTCTCCCCTGCCAAAGAAATCTAAAGGAAAGATGAAGCTTTTTAAAGCAGCAGAAAAAGAATATAACTCCAATAATTACTTCCAGTCTTGGACTTAACTTATATATACAGTTCGTATTCAATACATATAATGTTCATGTTACAGCTTAAAAGACAAATTTAATTTGGAGCTGATATTACTATTTTACAAGGAAAACTGTGAATGAACTAAAAAATCTAGCCTTTAAAAAGTTTTCCAATAAAATATCCTGCACAAAGCAACAGTCAAATTTGTTTAAAAGAAAAAGGTCATCCAGTTCCAGTCTATAATTTAAGACGACAAGTGAGGGGTGAGTAAGAGCTGTTTCACACTTTGGGTAGGAATCATGTTCACCAAAGATATACAGATGGTTCCCATATTAAACACAAAAAAAGTGTGAAGGACAAGTGTTCTTAAACACTTCATTGCTATACACAAAACTTAGGGCACCCTGCTGTATATTGAATATTGTGCATGTGTATGCACATGCACGAACACATCTACTTTTCACATATCCTACAGAAAACACTAGTTAGTCTGTAGCTTTGCAGGAAACAGAATCCAATCCAAAGCATGCTTTCAAGATTGAGCAGTGTGTGGGCAATTCTTCAGCTGCTGCCTGCAAGAAAAACAAATCTAGACAAAATACTAAAATGGAAAGTCATCACACTGACAACAAAGATACGTATTATCATGGCCATGATCTTCTCAGTTTTAATGTGGCTGTGAAAGCTAGACATCAGAAAGGCTGAATGAAGAAAAATTAATGCTTTTGAATTGGGATCCTGTCCTGAAAAAAAAAGAGAATACCTTGGACCACAAGAACAAATTATTTAATCCTAGATGAAGTAAACCAGACTGATCACTGAAATATTAATCATGAAGCTAAAGTTTATCTATTTTGGATACTACATGCAAAGAGTCATTGAAGAAAGCTCTGATAGTTGGTCAAATGGGAGCCAATTGAAAAATAGGCTGGCAGAAGACAAGATGGCTAGACACTTAACTGATACCATGAGTGTGAGCTTTCAAAAATTGCTGACAGTCCTAGTGAACTGGCGTCTATCAGGTTATGAAGAATCAGAAGTAGCTGAACAACAGTAGCAACCCCCCTTGTGGTATAACAGTATAATGTTTAGCATGCTTGTTTGAATAAAATAGCCTTTTAGTTCTATTTCATTCCAATATCCAATAATAGGACCCCCTGTTCTGTTATCCCAGCTTGAGTCCACCCATAGTCATTGTCCCTTTATCTGAAGTCCCTAATTGCCCATGTAGTCAGGCACCCAGCACATAGATAAGCCTGCCTGCAAGTACTCCTAATACTCTCCCAAAATCTCCAGTACCTCATCTAAATTTCACAAGCCCAAGGTCCTGGCTGTGTTGCATGCTCAGATAGAGCTTCACTCTCTGTCCAGCTCCAGATTGTTCACAGCACTGCTAACAAAGGCAGCCCCTGAAGGTGGAAGTCCATTTATTTATCATAAAGGGAACCCCACTAGACATGTTTTGCTACATCATAAGGCTGATCAGCCTCCACACATCAGAAGGAAGTCATAGGATAATTCATTGTAGACCTTAAAATTCTTCTGCTTTTTGGTGTTTAGGCATGGAACTTAAGGTATTATGCAGAATCTTCTAGGACTCTGAGCCAAGCATAGTCATTTTAATACACATATTCCTAAATAAATGTGCGGATACCTACCTCTCAGTAAAACATTCATTCTGAAGAAAAAAGAGAAGACTCCAGTACCGTAGCAGCCTTAATTGAAGAAACATTATTTTCAAAGAACAAGAGGAATAACTGCATGATGGTGTTTGCCACTACTGGCATCTTAATAAACAGTTGCATTCAAATTTATTTTTAAAAATATCTGACACCCATCATTTTTTACTCCATTGAAAGTTTCTACAATACAATTCTTATTTTTAGAAAACAGTTTTACAATTATTTGGGTCTGCTAACCTGAAGAAATTGTTTCTTGAGTTCAGTCCTGGAGAGGAATGAATAATACAGCCAGGTGCATACTATTCTTATTTTTATTTGTATTCATCTTTTAAAAAGTGTTATCAGAATCCTAAAAGAGATTCTGATATAACAAATAATATTCTATCTATTCTTGGCATATCTTCTGAGTGCTAACTATGCTAAAGACAAATCATTTCTGGGCATCAATTAAGGAACAAAAATGTATCTGTATAATACAATAAGGAAACACTGCATTTTTTTCTGTTTTACCTTACATCCTTGTAAGGGCTTATTTTGTCAAACATCAGCTGCATCCTATTAAGCCCTCACAGAAGTGATCATCTGCAAAACTTTAGGCTTGAAGTCACTCATGCTATAAAAGGTAAAAACACTTAGCATCTTGTAAATGGAAAATTCAAAACCTTACAGCCAATTGTTTATATGGAGGTTTGTGCAGGCATTAAAGATCACTATTTCTTTTTAAAATGCTAAATAAACAATGTTCTATTTTGTGAGAGCAATCTCTTCTGCAAACTTCCAGATACATTTCAAAAACCATGTTGGCTGGGATTCAGGAGTTGCAATCCTAAAAGATCCTCAGGACACAAAGGCTGTCATAGCATAAAGCCATAATTATTTAAACTATAAGCAAGGACAAAGACTTTCAGAATGAAAGGCCAGACCTAGTTCACAGATGCCAGGCAAAACCTTTTCAAATACTTGTTTCTTAGACTATCCCTTGTGGCTTGATCATATAAATCACTAAGCCGTAATGGATGGCTTTGCACATCACACTAATGAACAAATCACCTTATCGACTGACATCATTTACGAACTAGGCAAGTGTACTAGTTATATCATTTCCCAGTTCCTGCATGATAAATCTAGTAAAAAAGTGGAAGGAAATGCATCCCATGTAAAATCAGGAGTCTGGTAGCACCTTTTCAAACTAACACAGTTTATTAAAAAACATCAGCTTTCATGAACTACAGTTCACTACACCCAAACTCAGTCTGTAGTTCACAAAAGCTTATGCCTTTTAACAAAATCTGCTGGTCTAGAAAGCTGGGTAAAGGTGAAATATCATACTTTACTGAATTATTATTTCAAATAATTTTGGTGTAGAGACACCTAAATTTACCAGCTTCTCCATAAAGCAAATTTAAAATTCTGAATTTTAAAACACTCAAGATCATTATATGTATGGTAGAACAAGGTAGACCACAATCTAATAATAAGTTAGACACAAAGACTGGTTTTTATATAAACCTTTGAAGTATTTTAATTATATTTTTACATCACAAATAAGCAAAAGTTACCACTAGTGCTTCAAGATTTAGAGTGTGTGTCCAGGAAATTATCCATAAAAATATGTTTATGTTGCATAACATACTGCAGCATATATACTTCTGGGATAGCGCCCTTAGCATCCTCTTGGTACCAAAAAAGGCAAGCCAGGATTTTCCTATCACTGTGATGTGGTTTATAAATTTGGTGCATGAGCATACATAGCAGCCTTTAATTGACATCAATGATCTGCTTGCTGATGGCAAAGTCATTTAATGTACTTCAAAATCTGGCAAAACCAAAGAGGCTCCACAGTCCACTCTGTGCTGAAAGTGCTTCACAGTTCACCAAGGCTGAGAAGCCCGCAGAGCTGTCAACCAGCTGCATAGCTACTAAGGAATGAGTAGAACATAGGAAGCTTCAAGCGCTGTTGGTCCTTGCGACACCAAGAGATCACTGTTCCTTCATTATTTGCTGTGTACAAATGATGGCCATCACACGAAAAGGTAAGGCTATAAAGATTTCCAAAACACATCAATAAAAACAAGTTTGTCAGACAGCTTAGGGTATATTGAACATACACCATTAAAAGGGGGAGGGGAGAAGAAAGAAAAGGATATAGCATATAAATAGGCTAAAGCCAATACAAACATTAATTTTACTTATTTTCTGCATTTCAGTGTAGAAGACCTGTTTCTGCTCAACAGAGCTTTAATATAGAATCACCGCCCCCATCTCTTTAACCTCTTTCTGAATGATTTAGCACACTTCCTTAGCTCTATTAATGGTCATCCTCCCAAGCTTGGTGGCCTTCCCACCCCATTACTACTTTATGCTGACGATACTACAATTCTCTCTTATATGAGAGTGGGTTTGCAAAGATACTTGGATGCATTTTATAACTATTGTCAATGCAACTCACTATCAACTATTCTAAATTGAAGGTAATAACATTTGCCAAAAGATGGCACTTACAGAGATAGTTCATGGGTAACATAGAAATTGAACAAGTCAAAAGTTTCAAATATCTTGGCATTACATTTAGTTATAATCTTTCTTGGGTCACCCATCACAATAAGACAATCCATCTGGCTAATTATTCGGCTGCTCAGATTAAACAATTTTACAAGAGAAAACCAATATGTACCTGCAGCAATTAGAATATTTAATGCTAAACTGCTTTCTCAAATTTTATATGGTATGCCCATTTGGCTGGGAGCTCTTAACCATAAAGTAGAGGGCATTCAAGCAACCTTTTTGAGGCAGCTTTTGGGGGCTCCCAATTGTGTCTCCTATCTCACAATTTGCTTAGAAACTGGTCACCATCTGATAGAAGCCAAAGCCTGGTTAATAACAATTAAATGTTGGCTTAGGATTTTATTTAGAGCTGCTCCCGTAACCCGTTATCACATCTTAATATGGATAAATATATTTTGGTCCGGCCTCAACATATTATGTCTAAACTTAAGCAAATTGGGATAGTGATTGATGATTTATATTTATCGGATGAAACTTAGTTATTTATCATTATTAAACAGAGATTTTTAGATTTAGAATATCACAAACTCAGACCTGCTCAACCCCGTGTTTGTTCGCCTTCCATGCCAGGTATAGAAACTCACTTGGGTCAAATGGCGCATTATTTGTATGATCTTGAGGTCCCATCTCAGCGTAGAGCCTTTTTTTTGGCCAGAGTAAATTTTTTTCCTTCCGAGGTACTTCTCGGAAAGTATAAACCCATCCCCAACCACAAGAGGCTCTGTTCTTGCGGCACCCCTGATACAATTCACCACATAATTTTTTATTGTCACCTAGTTGAGACTCCCCGCTATGAACTGCTTTTAAAACCTTTACAGGGCAAATATCCGCCAAATACTGTATCAGCCTGCCAATATCTATTGAGAGATGTCGTGCCTGAAATTAGCAGAACTGTGGCTAAATTCTTGGATGAAGCATTTAAAAGCAAATGTAAACAATCTCTCAATGAGTACAGCTTTCTCTTTGACTAATCTTACGATATGTCAATGAGTGTTTTTGTATTTCTGTTTGCTCTTTTAATGCCAATAAAGGTTTGGATTGTATAGAATGGAATAAATGTGTGGTGCACATCATGGTTGGTACACATCAAGTCTACTTCCATATTTTATTTATTTCATTCTGTGTGTTTCCCTAGCTAATGGTGTCTCTTGCAGTACTCTGCTTATTAAGCTAGATTTACACTGGGTTTTATTATTTACAAAAAAAAATCTCTCTACAGCAAACTGGCATGTAAGCAATCACATATTTGCCCATCCAATGTAGCCATTCATATGTTATTGATGTGGCCTGGAACCCCATGAAACAGATGTGCAAAATAATTACTTGAAATAATGTAAAGCATACAGGTAGTCCTAGGTTACTAACTGCCTCATTTAATGACCTGTCAAAGTTACAATGGCATAAAAAAAATAGCTTTGTGACCAATCCTCACATTTATGACCATCGCAGTGTCCCACGGTCACGTTTGCCATTCAGGCGCTTTCCAACTGGTTTGTGACAAGTAGAGGTAATAGAGAAGGCAGAAGTAAAATCGTAAGTCGCGGTCATGTGATGTCTTACTTAATGACTGCAGTGATTTGCTGCAGTGACCAAAGGGGAAATGAGGTTGTAAGCCCATCATGGTCACATGATGTTTCACTTAGCAACCATGGCACTTAGCAATAGAGTTGTCAATCCCAGTTGTGGTCACTAAGCGAGGACTACCTGCACTCCTATTAGTACAAAAAGTTATATTAACAATTTTTCCAACCTTTCCCCTCTTTGATTTATTCTGCATTTTAACAAGGGACACAATATGGGGATAGTTTAATGTCATGTTAGGCAGTGGGCACTTTTAGTAAAATCAAAAGTTATTAAGTGCTACTTCCAGAAGACAAACCTCAAGGGAACTCTAAGGATAAGCAAAGCACTCCAACGTTTATGTTGACTTTTTAGAAAAGGCATAACAGTAAATTGTTAAATGCTACCAAATTATTTTTTTTTTACCTGACAATTGGTTTATTTGATTTAGGAAATGTAATTTCCCGCACAGGTTTCAAATCCCATGTGCTCCACAATCTAAGAAAAAGAAGAGACAGAATTAATGCTACTTTATGCAACCTATATGATAGAAATGGCTTTTACAGTATATCCTGCCATTGTTTCTGCTCAGTTATGTTGCAAATTTTTATAATCTATTGAACTGAAATTGAAGAAGACCTAATCTAATATTGAAAAACATGATCCTGAAGCGAGACAATCCCCATATCTGCTCTCACAAAATTATTACAAGGCATCCACGGCGTTCACAGGTTCATTAAGTTGCTCATCTTCCATTATAATATATGCCATCATAGACACCATTCTACATGGGACAAACAAACTAGTCACTATGCAAAATAATATATGGACATAAATCTGGTATCAGTTATGAAAATATCCAAAAACTAAAACTGAGAAAACTTCAACCATCCATATACATTTTTTAATGTATATACATATATATTGTTCTGTTGGTTCTGTAAGTGCTTCTCCTTCCTGCCTTGGAATTACTGATTTGGAAGTCAGGGCTGCTACTGGCTGATAGATGCTAGGCATAAGTAGCTACTTCACAATCCCTTGGATGGGATAGTAGCTTGTTCACTGGAGTGGACACTGCCTTGTGCTTAGCTGGCTCTGCCCATGCCTTATCTCTGAAAAAAGTCCAGAGAGCACATCCTGAGGTCCATGCTAGAACTTGAAAGGACCACCTTGGCACAACTTCACAATCCTCTCAAGGCACTGACTGCAAGGTTGCTGGGATCATCTCCTGCATCTTCTCCTCATATTATTTTGAAGGTCTTGCTCTTTCTTTTCTTCCTTTTCTGCATGAATATGGGGAGGATCATCAATAGATGAAAAATGAGGAATAGCAGGATTTATTTGATGGGCTTCTGATCCGCCTCTCTTCCTGTTTGTTTGAGAGCAACCCTTGTTGCCCATGAGCTAAATTATTATAGTTCATCACTCTGTCAGGCTTCACACCAGAGATTCCACAGCAAATCTCTACAGACACTTAACTCCTTATTTAAGAACAGGCTTACTCAGCAGAAGACTCTCAGACAAGACTCAACAACATTAGACTCTTTATCATAGACAAGAATGAAGCTATATACACACAAACGATTTTGCCCATTGCAGGGCAAAAAGGTCAAAGATGCTATATACAGTACATCTGTTCTCCAGAGTTCAAATTCTAAGCTTTTTCCTCATAGTTTTCCAGATGAACTCTTACCTAATATAAGACTTCAACTGTCTTATGATTTGCTTGACTGCCATGCTTACTCTGAGCCAGAGTAATGCCATATTAAATAACCTACTTAGATAACCTACTTAGAGATGAACTATTTTTGAGCTGTTGCTTCTGTCAGGCATTACTAATGGTAAACATGCCTCAGGCCAATTCTAGACAGGTTTCAAGGAAGTAGGCTAAGCTAGTACACATGCACAAAGACCTTCCAAATATATACAGTATGTGACATATAATCCACCCATGTCTATGACCTAATGGCATAGAAATTCTTAGGAATAGTATAATAGTATAATGGAACTAATGAATAAAGCATAAAGCTATCGACATAATTGGGGGATTGGTGGGCTTGTTTGAGCTTTATTGCTGAAGTTTATAACAGATAATTGCTCATTCATGCAAAGTAAAAGAAGTGAAGCTTCAACAACTCTCCCTCTGAAGACTATCATTTCCCAGTTCCATTCAGTCTGCGCGACTGGCCGATCTCTTTCCTCAATCTCTGACCCTCAGATGCCACGTGACTTCTTGGCTGCTGCCTATTTTTAGTGTGTCTAACAGCTATGCTGCAGGTTGCCAGAGTCATTCCGTTCAATTGCCCACAGTTCACAATGCCAGCACTGGACTCCTCCTTTTGTAGTATTTCCAAATCTTATTTATTTCTTTTTCATTCAGTGTTCAGCCCTTAAAATGGAGCTGAAAGAAAAGCCACTGCTTCTTCCTAAAAGGCAGAGCTGAAGACTGAGGAGAGTGGGTTTCCTCTACAATACAGGAAGAAGTCTTAAGCTCTACTTTTAGCTAGAAGAGATGGAGTTATCCTTTTCCTGTCAGCTCCATCTTGCTTATTGGTTCCACTGTTGATGACAGAGAACAGTAAACTAGCATTCATCAAGAAATTCAACTTTGTCCTGCCCATGCTATAGGAGATAGTTGTGCAGATTCTTTTCTTTATAAATCATACTACATATATTACCACCTCACCCTAAGTACTTGCTGTATTCCTTTTCTATCAGTCCCCATTGTTTACAGTCCTCAGGATGACCACACATCTGATGAAGTGGGCTGCAGTGCATGAAAGTCATGCCATTTAAAGGCCACATGTATTAGCCTTTAAGCTTTCCAAAGGCTCTTTGTTGTTTGTACTGATATAAAGCTACAAAAGTAGAATCTTTGTAGAACAATGAAGAAGATGTACCATAGATGAAAGCAACCAAACATATCTTAAAATCAAATATTTTGGGGGTGAAAATAATATACACAATGAATAGTATCCAAAAAGTGCCTTAAAGTCTTTATAAGCTACATATATCATTAAACAGGAAAATGCTCTATTTATAGCCACTCACCTCACAACTCCATTTTCTAGCCCTCCAGCAATCACATTGATAGAGACTCCTTCAGGCTGGTTGGAGAAAGCAACAGAGCATATGATTTCTCTGCAATGTACATGTCCCACCAGGTCACCATTGACTGTCCAGAGTCTGAGATCACTACCACCACCAACTGAAATATAGTCAAATCATTGAGTAAGCAAAATAAAATCTAGAACACAATGAGAACAAAGCAATATGCAGGACCCAAATGACTCAACTAAAACACTTAAAGGAAAGAAATATTCTAGTCATATAGAAGCAGTGAACTGCATAATATTTTTTGACAGTAACAATGTCTGCAAGTATATGTAATAAAAATTGTTATAATCAGGTGATATAATCATAAGTAATCACCAGTAAAAGACAAAAGATGTCACTGGATTCTAGGAAGATTTTTTGTCAATGGAAAGATAAACACTTTCTTACATTTGAGGATGTAAGAAACACTTGAGAAATTACACTCATGTGAAAAAATAACTATACCCCATTTAAATTTTTTACTTTTTCAACATATTTCAACATATAGATATTTGATCTTCATTTCAACAATATTGATAAAGAGGATATAATATAACAAATATCATGCACCATTTATATTTTGTAGTCCATTTTGTAATTTAAATAAACATAAATCCAAATTTCACATGTGGAAAAAGTACATTCCTACATTTATCACTACCTCAAATACCTAAAATTGGAATCTGATCTGCACCAGATCAGACACAAATGATTAGAACACTGTTAGAGAGGATCTGGGAGGAATTTGTTTTATTTAAAATTTACTATTTAGTTTTATTTGCTCTTTGTTATTTTGGTGTGTGTTATCACCCTGCCTAGATTGAAATAGCTCTCTGAGGCCTTCAGAAAGAAGGTTGTAGATGCCTATGAGTCTGCAAAGGGATTTAAAAGATCACCAAACAATTGGACATCAATCATTCCACTGTCTGGAAGATCATCTACAAGTGGAGATTTCAAACAACTACCAACTTGTCCAGGCCAGGCTATCCCAGTAAGTTCAGCCCATGAGCAGAATGCAAGATGCTGAAAGAAGTCTCTAAGAACCCCAGAATTTCATCATGTGACCTACAGGTAGCTCTCACCACCACTGATGTCAAAGTGCATGAATCTACCATTAGAAAGAAGCTGCACAAATTAGATCTACTTGGAGGTGTGCCAAGAAGAAGCCTTTATTGTCTGGAAAGAACATCAAAGCAAGACTAAAGTTTGCTCATGAACATCTAGGCAAAGACCAGGACTTCTGGAACAATACGTTCTGGATAGACAATGCAAACATACAGTTATTTGGCCATAGTACCAAAAGACATGTTTGACAAAATTTCCAGGCAGGGAGTTGATTTCTATTTATTGTTACTTCTTTTGGACCAGGACTCAAAAATATCCTCACAAGTTGCCCAGTTTTGCACTACCATCTGTATAACACGTCACACCATATCACACCATTAACTAAGTTTGGATACCTATTTATTCATTACTTTTTATAATACTATTTTTATTCTATTTTATTATATGCGTTCTTATTTATCTTTAGATCTTATTATACTCATTGTTTTTCTGTTGTATATATAGATGTATGTAACAGTTCTATGATTGGATATTTTACTGAATCTGGCCTTATGGCTGTAATAAACAATTTGATTTGAGTTGATATTGGGACTGAATTTTTGGTAAGACAAAATTGAAAATAATGATATAATGACGTTACCATGAAGACTTCTTTATTATGGTGGAAAAGACATCCTATAGTTGAAAGCTCCTCCTCCTTGCTCTGGTAGGAAGATTGAAGATTTTAACCTTGACTAAGGAAAAAGCAGCTAATGCCCAGTTTCAGATAACAAGTGAAGAGAGTGCCAACAAAAATGTAATGGAAAAAGAGGGAAAAAAACAAACTACACTCCTATAAATTGTCTATGGTTGATAATAGAGGATTAGATATCCTCTCCCCACCATGGAAACGAAGTCTTCACAGTAAGTCCAGTGCTCCATTTTCCAATGAAGGAGGGCATTATTTCTATGGAAAGTATTTGAGTAAATCAGACAGAAGGATTTAAAAGATGGCTAACACTTCAAAACCAAGTGTAATGATACAATTGAGAAGCTACAGTAACTTCCAAAACACTGTCTACAAGAACGGGAAGAACAAATACTTGCCTCTTAAGCATTATTAAGGTTGCGATCAGGAGGAACATTAACATCTAACCGGAGCTTTAATCAGCACTGACCCTGTTGGCATTTAGAAAAACTGCCATGACCTGGCTATTTAGAAAGCCTTTGGATATGATATAGGTGGTTTTCCAATGGTTCCCTCTCTGCAGCATGGGATTGCTATGTTGTCAAGAGTGACATTCCTCAGGATGATGGAAGTAAGGCTTGATATTATTATTGTGGGGTTTTGTATTGCGTGATTATTATGTATTGTTTTAATCCTTCTATTGTGTTGGAGAGTGCGCCTAAAAGCTCAAGTAAAGTAAGCATATACCTGAGAAACAGAAATCTGAAAAGCAGAAAACTTCCTCCTCTAACACTAACAACGCAAGCCTCCTGAGTCAGCTTGTAAACACACACTGCAAACTCGCTGCAAGATGGAATAATAGTATTACTCTGGGTGCAAAGGGCCAAGATCTCTACTTGAATAAACTTCTTCTTCCAGCAAAAGTATGTGGAGAAAAGGCAAGCAGTGCAGCTCAGATGAAGATGCACTCACGCTCCAATGAGTGTTGAAATCCTAATCCTACTTACCAGAGCAAGGAGGAGCAACCAAGTATAGGATTCCCTCCTTTACCATTGGAAAAAAAATAGAAAGTTGTTTTCAGATTTAGGAACTAAAATGAATTAGACATAATTATTTGACACCTTTAGCCCCAGTGTGGCTGAGGAGGATAAGATTTTAAGAACTTAAGCTTTGAATCAATACAGGAAAAGGTTAGAAGTAATATTTATTACTTCTATTAATATTTCATTCTGTGTGTCCTTCCCACTCAGTTGATGTTTAATTTATTATCAAAACTATCTTTAGCATCTAGCAAGCAGAAAAAATGAATAAGTATAACTATTAATATTTGTCAAAGGAATGGATGAGGAATTTCTGATCTAAAGGCCACATGTAGTCCTTGGATGAGTCATGTTAAGGAGAAGAGTTTGGAAGCTTCTCCTCCTTGGCTTCCATACTGTTTGCAAAGGAGAGATTTCCTCCTCTTACGTAACAGATTGCAAGCGTGGGGATGGGGACCTGATCTGGCATGTGAGATAGAAGGCTGTTTGGAATGTGTATGTACAAGAAAGTATGGGATGCCTCCTTTATGATATTAAAAGCTTGCCAATAAATATTTTCAGATGCTAGGGAATTTCAGATAGCTCTGGATAAATTCACACTATCTACTGGACCCTTCTCTTTTAGGGACATCTATACTACTCATTGATTTGGGTTTTATTTTCCTCATGCTATATCCTGGTTAACAAATCTAATGTCACAGCCATAACATGAAAGAAATGGAACTCTTAAAAGAAGATATAATTTTGAAGCCACAATATCACCTATATGTGCCTGCATACATCCTCAAAGCATATTCTCATTAGCATGCATAGTAAACATGTTGCTGAGATTCAAAAATGTTGCATGGTGTTTGGTGTTTCGCATACAGAAGATTCCAGATTTAATCCCATACCTAGACAGAATGTCAAAAACCATGGAGAGCCATTATTAGGCCATGCAAACTGTGAAAAGATGGATGATCAGTCTGAGTCAATATAAGATAGTTTCCAGCTCTTGTCAGACACAAAATTGGGTTTCTCCTGGATACATTTCTGAATTTCTTAATTTGACTGAATGCATTCAACTGAATTACTGAACAAGTGTTTAGATAATTCTAGATTTCAACCAGTGAGATTATTTGCTAGATTTCTATCACTTGTGGAAAACTTACTGCCTGAACAAGTGTCAAATCCAATACCCAGATTCCAGTTGTACAAATTCTTGAAAAATTCCCTTCTCTGCTAAAAATATAGTGGTGGATGAAAGAGATTCAAACCTGAGACCATGGGAACACAGCTGTCAGTAATGTGTTGTTATAAACATCTGTGTTTATACAAAGAGTTTGCTTTCTGACATAGTAAAAACAAACAATTATATATTGGCACCATTACAGAATGGTCTTGGTTTGGGAACATTAACTCAGGAATGGGACATTTTATAGTTATATGTTAAAGCAGAGGAGAGTTCCATAAAACTGAAACAGGAATATGTTCTTTTTCCTTTCCTTTCCCCTAAAGCACCCTTACACAGTATTAGAAGTGTGGTCATGCCTCTTCAAGTAGGTATACCATATCTGGGCTGCAAAAATGTGGAGCAGCACTAGATGGCAACAAAAGTATACAAAAAAAAGGATAACTCACTGCTGCCATCTAGTGGTAAACTGGAGTTTTGCAGCCCAGATATGATATGCCTATCTGTCGAAGACTCTTCCACACAGGATAAAAGTACAAAGGCTGCATGAGTTCAGGCGTGAGAATGTCAGCCCTGTGTCCAAAACAAACAGAACCCAAAGCCCTGAGAAGCTCTAGGATCCAGATGCAATAATTCAGTGTATAAATAAAGAACAGGCTTCCTCAGAACAATAAAAGGTATAAAAATAGCAGCTTGATCATGGTAGACTTGTTTTGATTAGCTTTACAGTAACTTATGACCAACTACTGTTGGGAAAAGGGATTGGGTTGTGCTAAGCTAGTGTTTATTTTAATAATAGTTCACTGAATAAATCATATCGTCTTGGCTCAAACATAATGCTAAGTCATAAGGCGTGTTTTACAAATCAGAACCAAACAAATAACACTCTGGCTTAGCACACTTTTTCCAAAAGTGCAAATTGTGATATCCGAGGGAATCACCAGATAACAGAAGTCCTTGCTGAACAGGCTTACCCGTTTGATGCAGAGGTATGCTAAATGCAAAGCAAGGAAACTGTTTCAGGCCTTGTATGAAGCCTGAATAATGTTCTTGTTTTTTTCAACACTTTGCTTTTGTCTTTTGAAGGGGGAGTAATCATACCTGGAGGGCACAAGGCTTCTATAAAAGCTCTGACCATATGACCTGACCCATACTCTGAAGAAGAAATTACAAGGGAGAGGATACTGCAGATGATGCTGCAGCAAGGAGGAAATTACAAAAGTGGGGGGGGGCATTACAAGCACAGATCAGCAAACTAGAAGTGAAAGAGAAAATGGGCTGTGGCTGTTATCTCTGGGAGGATGCACTGGGAGAAAAGAGGGCAAAAGCAATTTACAGCTTGCAAGTAATCTACAAGCTGCAGCAGTATAAGATAAGGTAATGCAAGAAAACACTTTTTGTTCTCTTCCACACCCTGGACTTTGGTGAATAAGTTTTGGTAGCTGTCTTAATGAAATCCAAATTTCAGGAACTCTGCAAAAGTAAATATTAAACAGCTTGTCCCATTAAAAATATGTCAAAGGAGTGTTTATAAGAGTTTTATAAGTTGCATGGTTCTATCATTGTTGTATTTAATGTATACTTTAAAAATTAAGAGTATTAAAAGTGCTATATACGGTATATTTATTTCTTGCAGAACCCTAACTCCAACAAAATTATTATTTTTATTTGGGAAGAGATAATTGCATAATTCATGCATTATTTTAGGAAGTCACAGGTCAATGAGTGAATCCAGACAGCATCTGGAGCTCCTGTCCTAACCTGGTTACTAGTAACTTAACTCTTAATTATTGGACTGACATATGATGAATGTAAACTTATCTGTTTATCATGGAAATGCTTAGTATGAAATGGTGCCTCTTAAAGGATCTGGCAAACTGACTACATACTGAGATGCCTGAATTCAGATATTATTTCCCCAAAAAGTCTCTCTCATATAACCCCATTTATGCAGTGGCACAATTGTGGAAAATTAGACAGCATTTCATCATTTCACCAAGGATCATTAGGAAGGTGGGTTTAGCTCCTGGATAATTTCTGACTTGCTGGCTAAATCCAGGATATCAAGTATCAAGCATTTTTGCTGACTGGGCAAAGCAACAGACAGCCTCCTCAAACGGGCTGGCTTTCAATTATAATCCTTATTATTTGAAACTGAAGATTGTACTCAAGAAAAAAAAAATTCCGAGCAGGAGGCTGAGAGGAACTTCTCCAATAATCTTTTGTGTAACAAGTGCTGAATGTGCACTGAAACCCAACAGCTTATTTAAGCAGGTAAAAAATAATTTCTTTGGCTAGACTGTCTATAATGATTTTAGCTGGAATTTCTTTGTATGTTTGTTTCCCTATTGTTTCTTTCTGTTTTTTTATTTTCCCAACAACCCCCTTTTTATATCTAGAGATGTGGCTTCATTGGTTTATAAGTGAATTTCCCATTAAAACCACATGAGACCGCATAGTTGCACCTTGCATTTCAGGACTGGCACATGATTTGTTAAGTTATGTATTTCTGGGCTTTGGGTTCAAAGCACCTTCCTTTCTATTTGGGCTGTAAGGAAAAGTCTTTGATAGGCTAAGAACGTCCCTACTGCACCGATTAGGTGGTGCCAGGAAATTCAGTCTGATCCATGATGGCTTGACATAAATATCCATTATTCAGAATCCAAGAATCCATTACTGGAAGGAGAGGTCCTCCAGTGAAGTTTAAAATTACCCCCTTCTCAATTTGTAATAACCACCCACCTGCTTGAACCATAGGTTGAACCTTAAACTATATTCTGATTCTCTTGTATGCCAATGAATTTCTGATATGTTAATTGGCTAGCCAGGAAATCAGGCCCTAAATAGAAAACAAGCACAGCAACCATTCTTCCAGTTCTAAACCTTCTTCCTCGGTTATTTACTATACAGTGGTACCTCGGGATACGAATGCCTCTACTAACGAACTTTTCAGGTTACGACCAGCTCCGGCTGCAAAAATTTACCTCGATGTGCAAACTCCGCCTCGGGGTACGGCCATTTTTCTGCCCCTGACACGTGGTCCGCGGCCATTTTTCCACCCCTGACACGTGGTCCGCGGCCATTTTTGCCCCCCTGACACGTGGTCCGCGGCCATTTTTGCCCCCCTGACACGTGGTCCGCGGCCATTTTTGCCCCCCTGACACGTGGTCCGCGGCCATTTTTCCACCCCTGACACGTGGTCCGCGGCCATTTTCCCGCCGTGCCGTGTGGCGCCCAGCCATTTTCCCGCCACGCTGTGTGGCGCCCAGCCGTTTTCCTGCCCCTGACGTGTGGTCCGCGACCATTTTTCCACCCCTGACACGTGGTCCGCGGCCATTTTCCCGCCGTGCCGTGTGGCGCCCAGCCATTTTCCCGCCACGCTG